AAAGATTTCAAAGACAATGATTTAATGGACAAATTGGCGAAATCATTGGCCCGATTGCATGGCCTGAAGGCACCCATACCTCGCCATAAGGACTGGTTGTTAGTATTCTTTAAGTCAAACGCCGACCGAATGAATGACAACTTTTTGATAACTGAGAGAATGGCTTACAATGAATACAATTGTCAAACATTATTGTCCACTGATTTAAAAGCAGAGCTACAATGGGTTGTCGGGTATATCGAGAAACACTACTCAGACTATCCGCTTGTGTTAGCTCACAATGACTTTAGAGGCGATAATATAATGATTACTGAAGACAATGAACTCGTTTTGTGTGACTTTGATTTCACGAGTTATGGCAGCCGTGGCTTTGATTTCGGAGTATTTTTCCGCAAACTATCTCTAATTGAAGACTTTTCCAAAGACTTTCCCTTCGAGTCTATACTGAAGTCATTCATCAATTGCTATATCAATGAATGCAAGCAATTGTTTGGAGACAAGTATTCACACAAACCATACAATTCTTTACAGAATATGATAAATGAAATCAAATTTTATATTTTGGTCGCAAATCTATTTGTGGTAATCTTTTGGTGCTTTGAAACCAGTTTTCCGTTTGATATAAAAACAAAAATGTTTGTCTCCGAGAAGTGTCTTAAAACTTATATAACACTTAAACACATGTTAGTTAAATCTAATAACTTATTATAATACTGTACTTTATAGAATATTTGATAATAAAAAATAAAGATTTGTGATTTGGAAATAATTATAAACAACTTTTTGGTTTTTGCATTTATTTTTATAGTAAAATTTTTAGACATTAATTATTTGGTAAAAAGTATTGCTATCATTATATCAAACTCACAAACTTAATGTTTGTGACAAAGTAATGTCTTCAACACTATTTATTAATTAAAAGTAAAATAATTAAAAATATACATGTACATACATATACATGTATATAATCATTTCAAAGTGGTTAAATTTCAATTAAGTTATAGCTTGGTCAATTTTTTCAAAACTATTTAACAAAAATCATACAAATTATGCCAATTATCACACAAACAGCTTTGATTTTAATCTTTATTAATAATTAAATAATTAATTAATGATTACTTAAACACATGTATAGTTGTGGTGAAGATTACGGCCAATGCGTTGACAAATCTGATCATTTGGTTGAATGAGTTATCAATGCATTCATCGCTCAAACACTGCATTTCACGGAACCATTCAGTTATCGCTCAAGAAATCAACACTTATTTCATTACATTTATTAGATTTTCAATCATTTTGGCGTTAATTGTATTACAAAAACATGTATTCATTTCGTAATTAAATTATGATTTAAACAATACTTAATTTGAGAAATATATGATTAAACGGACGGACAGTAAGTGTTATGAGAATTAAATGTTTGAAATAAATGTAAATTGCAATCAATTTTCTAAAACTTTTATTTCTAAACTATACTCAAAGTACTGCTGACGTCGACCCTAAGGCCCAGTTTGAAGGCGTCTTGTCGTTGACGTCCGGCTCCTGTGGCCCCAACTGACCGTTTGGTGTCAAGTGATGGTCACTTATTTACTGGAAGTATATTTGGTGACAGCTTTGGTGCCCTCAGAGACGGCGTGTTTGGCCGACTCTCCCGGCAATAGGAGGCGGACAGCGGTCTGGATCTCCCGGGAAGTGATGGTCGAGCGCTTGTTATAGTGGGCCAGACGTGAGGCCTCGTTAGCGATGCGCTCGAAGATGTCGTTCACGAAGGAGTTC